GCGCGCACAGAGACAAGCACGAGCAGATGGTGGAACAACAACTGTCGCTGGCGACCTGGAGAGACGAGGGGGGCCTGAAGGCCCGGCTGGGCGCGCGCCAACCCAAGCCAGGGGAACGGACAGAAGCGGGGGCCGACAGGGAAAGCCGGTGTGGAAGGCGCTTGCTGACCACAAGGGGTGGAGCCAGGGCGGCATCGACGGCCTCAAAACGGGCCAGGGTCCCGAGACATCTCCAAGACGGTCCAAGGCCCCGAGTCGCAGAAGCAATGTTCCACGACGCCCAAGATGGCTTCCAGACGGCCCAGGATGCCTCCATGACGCCCCAAGGGGCCTCGAAGCGGATTGATTTGCATTTTTGTTTAGAGGTTTTTGGCCTTCCAGCCTTCTCGGGTTTCCGACGCTTGAGGACGGCCCACGAAGCCTCCAACACCGTCTCCAGACGACTCAAGAGACCTCCAAGTTGGCCTCTTGACAGCACAAGATCGCCCCAAGACGGCCCAACAGAACTCAAAGGCAGCCTCCTAGCGCCCAAGAAAAGCTCCAATAATAAAGGCCCAGGAAGGGGACAACGAACTGAACATTCTAGCTCTCCGCCTCCGAAAAGGCCTTTTTAGAGACCCCAGAAGCTCCACGAGGGGTCCCACGAGTCCCCAAAGACGCACCCACGACGCCCGGAAGAGGGCCCAAGAGGCCCCAAGTCAAACTGTCTCGCGGAGGTATCCGAAAAGCTTCTCTCGTGATCTTAACGCACATCCTAAAGGTCCCTGAACCACGACCCAGTCGCGCCGGCTGGATACCCCGAAGACCCTTCCTTCCTCGCTCCTCAGCCGTCCTCGCTTCCAGCCGAAAACCCCTGGAAGAGCCCACAGAAACCCCCCAAACACACCCAGCGACGCACCACTTCTCCCCCCCAAGGGGTCGGCGGTGTGGATTAAGCCCAATAATCAAAATGTTATCACTCTCCGCCACCGTGCCTAAATGGAGTGGGCTTGTTAGAATGCTTGCCTGTTGCTTGGATGCTTTCATTTTTAGTTTTCTAGGGCCGCCCACCCCCCCGACGCCCGCGTGCCTCGAAAACCGCCCCCTCTGAAATTGCTTTCTGGCGGTCTTTTCGGCCTCCAGACTGCCAAGATGACCTCCAGGAGGGCTTACAAAACAGGAGAGACGACACCGACGCGGTTCAAGATGGCCGCATATAGCTCAAGAGCTCCTCAAGACAACCTCAAGACTGCACAAGAAGCCAGAAGCAAAAGAGGGCCTCAAGACGGCCCAAGAGGCCCCAAAGACAGCTCAAGAGAGCTCACGAAGGCCTTCCTGGCGAGCACGCGGGGGCCAAAACCATTGATGTCACTGAAGTGGCTGAAGTTCTCGCCTGTTCGAGTTTCCGAGCCCCCAAGACGGCCCAAGAGGCCTCCAAGAACCCTCCAAGATAGCTCCAGGACAGCCCCAGTGGCCCCAAAGAGGGCCCCAAATCGGGCCAAGAGGACCCACAGATCGCCCAAGCGGCTCCAAGAGAGCAACAAGACTGCCCAGAGAGGCCTCTTGAGCTGTCCTTGGCTGTCGGAAACCTAAACATGCAAGAACCTCAAACTTCTTCAAAAACCTACGGATGATCAGTGGTTTGGGTCTCCTCGGGCACTCCTGGAACGCCTCTTGAAGACCCATTGGGCCGTCTTGGAGGCCTCTTGACCTGTTTGGAGGCCTTCTTTCGGGGATCTTCTGACCCCGGGTCAATCCGGACCCAGGTCGTCGTTGTCGCTCGGCAACCGACGTGGAATCGGCCTCCCACGCAAGTGTCGTGCTCGCCGTCAGCCTGCGACCCAGGTCAGTCAGGCCTTGCAGAATCCTGCAAAATCCTGCAAGATCCTTCACCCAAACCCGGGTCAATGGTGGGGATCGTGCAAGATCCCGCAGGATCCTGCAGCCAAGCCAGGGTCAGTGCGACACTGGCACTGCATGGCCCTGCAAGATCCGCCGCTCTGGCTGACCCCCGTTCGCATTGCCCCCGTCTCAAGGCTCCCGATTCTCGGGAGCGGCCAAGGAGGGGGGCGTCCAAGAGGGGGGGGTGCAAATCATGGCCAGCGGCATGTGCGCGGCCCAGGGGGGGGGGTGGCCAGGGACGTAATGAAATAAGAAGAGGCGCCATGAAACCTGGGGAGATATCATGGCCCCCGCCATGATATCCACCCCCCCTAGTCATCACCCCCCTCTTTGCCGCCCCCGGCAAGGCTCCCGATTCTTGGGAGCCTCGTGGCCTCCGGGACAGCTTTCAAGACAGCCAAGACGCCGAGATGGCCCAAGAAGCCTCCAGAGGCTCCAAAGACAGCCTCAGGACAGATCAAGAAGCCCCCAGGATAACCCAAGAGGGCCCCAAGAGGCCCTCCTGGAGTACCCGAGAAGGCCCACACGGTTCCTGGGAAATTCTGGGGATCTAACCTGTTCGAATTTCCGACCGTCCAAGACGGCCCTAGAAACTTCCAAGAGGCTTCCAAGATAGCCCCAAGACAGCTCTGAAGACACCCGTGAGGGCCTCAAGTCTGCCCATGAAAGTCTTAAGATCGCCAAAAAGATGTTCCCAAGGGTGCCCCAAGACGGCCGCGAACGGCTCCAAGAGGGCACCAACACGGCCCAAAGAGGCTTCCAAGGCGGCCTCCGTAGGCGTTTGACGGGCCAGTAGTCCCCTAAGACGGCCCAAGAGGCCCCAAGGGGCCCCCAAGACACTTTAAGGAAACTCCCAAGATGCACTCAGGAAGCCGCGAGAAGGCCCCACGAAGCCTCCTCCTCCTCCTCCTCCTCCACCTCCTCCTCCTGCTCCCAACCGCGCGGACGAAGACGAGGTTGGAATCACGACCCACCCGAATACAGACTACTCATCGGAATTGCCCTGTTCCTACGCTCAGCCTACTTCCTGCTGCGCTGTTGCAAAGGCACGGTGGTGGGGTTTGCCGCAGGCAGCTGGATACTTTCCTCTTCTGAACCCTCCCCTCCTCCCCTTCCTCCTCCTCCTCCTCCTCCTCCTCCTCCTCCTCCTCCTCCTCCTCCTCCTCCCCTCCCTCCTCCTCCTCCTCCTCCTCCTCTCCTCCTCCTCCTCCTCCTCCTCCTCCTCCTCCTCCTCCTCCTCCTCCTCCTCCTCCTCCTCCTCAGGGCCTGAACAGTGCGCAACGACGTAGCAACGGCACCACCTCGACCTCCTCGTCGTCGCCCTCGCCGTCCTCCTCGTCCTCCTCGTCGTCTCCCCTCTTCGCCCCCGGGCCTGGGAGCAGGCGGCGGTAGCCCCGCGGGGGCCGCCCGAGCGCCCGCGCCAGCGAGCCCGCACCCTCCGCCACTTGCTGCAGCGCGGGCAGCGGGCTGCACCGGCCCCGGCCGCGGGCCGCGCTCATGGGCCGCGCGCCCCGCAAGGCGGAGGCTCGCGCGGGGCAGGGGCTGCCGTGGCCGCGCGTGGCTCTGCCACCGAGGAGGGGCGACGGCGACGGCGGCGGGGAGGAGAGCGAGGGAGGGGGATGGGGGGAGGAGGAGGGGGGGGAGCGGAGGGAGGGTAAGGACGGCGGAGAAAGGGGGAGGATGAGGGCAAGGGGAGGACGAGGGACGAGGGAGGGGAAGGCAAGAGGCGAGGGAGGAGGAGGGCAGGGGGAGGAGGAGGGCAGAGGGAGGGGGGGAAGGGAGAGGAGGAAAGGAACAGCAGCAGGAAGGGCGGGGGGCCCGCAAGGCAAAGAGCCGAGAGAAGGAGGAAAAAGGGGAAGATGAGGAGGAGGAGGAGGAGGAGGAGGAGGAGGAGGAGGAGGGCGTTGGGACGTTGGGGTGAACGACGGCGAATGTCGGGACTCCTCACGATTACTGCTGCAGATCGGCGATGGCAGCAGCTCGGACCGACTTCGGCGGCCCGCTGGGGTGGGGGTACTCCCCCCTCTGAATTCTCGCCAGATTATGCCTTCCCTTGGCTGTGGGGAGGCCGCACAAGGAAACCAAATGCCTGGGGTCTGTTGTGGCTGTACGACCACACTTGGAACAAAACGTCACATGGAATAGCCCCCAATGCTGGAGGGAGTGGGAATCGTGCAACTCCTGGCCCCCGATCGCTCGCTTCGCGAACAAAGGGACTAGGAGGAGGAGGAGGAGGAGGAGGAGGAGGAGGAGGAGGAGGAGGAGGAGGAGGAGGGAGGAGATGGAGGAGCAGGAGGAGGAGGAGGAGGTGGAGGAGGTGGAGGAGAAGGAGGAGGAAAAGGAGAAATAAGAGGAGGAGGAGGAGGAGGAGGAGGAGGAGGAGGAGGAGAGGAGGAGGGAGGAGAAGGAGGAGGAGGAGGAAGAGGAGAAGATGGAGGAGATGGAGGAGGAGGAGGGGGAGGAGGAGAAGGAAAAGAAATACGAGGTGTAGCAAGGGGAGGAGGAGGAGGAGGAGGAGGAGGAGGAGGAGGAGGAGGAGGAGGAATATGCTGGAACATGCTGAAAGCGCGCGCACGTGCTTCGCAACCAAGGGCAAAGGAGCGCAAGCAAGCGGCAGGTGTCGCCGACTGCACGCGAGCTCTCCACGAAACGACACCGCGTTGGGTGCCGCCCGATGCCTCCCACCAGGCACGGTCCCCAGGCGGCCTCCACAAAACGGGCCAAGGAGGAGGAAGGGAGAAGAAGAGAAGCAACTGCAGCCACATGCCACTGTGCCGTCACGGGGGTCTTCAGCCCACCACAGTAGCAAAACTCCTAACTCCACCTCCAGCTCGCAGGGCCAGCTAGCTCGCCACCTACCACACGGTTTTCCGAGCTGCGTCCGCCCCGTAGGGCTCAGATAACGACACCACCGTGCCGCCCCAAGCCACCCGAGGGGGCGCCACTCCCCTCGGGCGACTCCGCACCCCCACACACGCCAGGGCGGGGCACCCTGGCCGTGGGGGGGGAAGGGTGCGGGGTCCACCGATGAGCCCCCAGCAGGGGACCCGCTCCCCCGCACAAGCGCACGCGGTGTACGTGCCGGGCCACCGCAAGGAGGGAGCTGGCGACGAGATGCATTTTTCTCTTCCACGGGCCCCTACGGGCAAGCAGGGGTGACGATCGGGCTGCTACCCGCCTGTTTTCCTCCTGGCCCCTACGGGCAAACAGGAGTGGCACAGGTGCCGGGAGGAGGAGGAGAAGGAGGAGGAGGAGGAGGAGAAGGAGGTGGAGAAATGCAGAGGAGGAGGATGAGGAGCAGCAGGAACAGGGAGGAGAGGGAGGAGGGGCGGGAGCGGGAGAGGAGAGGGAGGAGAGGGAGGAGAGGAAGGAGGAGATTGCCTTCCTGCCTCTCCCGCTGCCTCTCCGGATCCTGCCATCTGCCTCCCTGCCCCGGTCATTGAGTGAACGGGCAAAGGGCAGGAGGGCGATGATGATTTAGGCAATGAGGAGGGCAGGAGGGCGATGATGATTTAAAAGGCCGAAGGTTTCTGTAAGCCTTGCATTGGGGAATTAGGCAGAGGAGGAGGAGGAGGAAGAGGAGGACAGGGTATGCTGGGGGCGGAGAAAGGTTTACTCCCGGGGAGACCGGTGCCTGTCTGGTGGTTGCCTCTCTAACGCTATCTGTGCTGTTGTTTTTGTCCCCACCTCGCCCTCCCCGTCTGGCGCTGCTCTGTCTCCCGCCTGAGTTTGCTGCGCGTTCCTGTTGTTCCCCTTCTTCTGGCGTGGGCCGGAGGAGAGAGGAGAAGGAGGAAGATGGGCAGGACGGGGCAGAAGAGGAGAGGGGGGAGTGGGAGAGAAGGAGGGAGATGGGAGGAGGGAGGGGGAGCATCTCCTTCCTCCTCCTCCTCCTCCTCCTCCTCCTCCTCCTGCTCCTCCTCTCTGGCCTGCAGCTGCGCAAGTGCTGCGGCACGCCCTGGCCGTGTCTCCCTTGTGGGGCCCTTTCGCGGACTCCTCCTCCACCTCCTCCTCCTCATCCTCCGCCTCATCATCTTCATCCCAATCATCATCATCATCATCATCATCATCATCATCATCATCATCATCATCATCATCATCATCATCATCATCATCATCATCATCATCATCATCATCATCATCATCATCATCATCATCATCATCATCATCATCATCATCATCATCATCATCATCATCATCATCATCCATCATCCTCATCCTCATCCTCATCCTCATCCTCATCCTCATCCTCATCCTCATCCTCATCCTCATCCTCATCCTCATCCTCATCATCATCATCATCATCATCATCATCATTCGTCCTAATCATCATCTTCATCAGCTTCGTCCTAATCATCATCTTCATCCTCATTGTGATCCTCCACCTCCTCCGCATCATCATTTTCGTCAGCATCACTCCCTCCCTCCCTCCCGACCTCCCCCCCTCGCTCACCTCCTGGTCCCCTCTTCCTCTCCCCCCTCCCGCGCCCTGCCCCCCCTCCCTCCCCCGCTCCTCCTCCAACTCCTCCGGCCCCCTCCCGAGGGGGCAAGGGCGCGGACGGGGCGCACCGGAGCGCCCTGTCCAGCTCCTCGAAATCGGAGATGCGCCACCGCGCCCACCAGGCGTACCTCCGGAGCAGGAGGGGAGAAGGACGAGGGAGCAGGGGGAGGATAAGGACGAGGGGGACGAGAGAACAGAAACGAAGGATGAGGCGGGAAGGAAAAGGAGAGGAAGAAATGATGCGGACGAGGGAGAAAGGGGGAAAGGGGAGGGAAGGAAGAGGGGCGGGGGCGGAGGTAGGGAAGGACACGGGAGAAGGCGGACGGGGAAGAGAGAAGGAGGAGTGAGCGAGAGGAGGCAGAAGGATGGGGAAGAGAAGGCTGAGGGGTCTCCTCCGTCTCCCTCACCCGCGTCCTCCTCTTCTTGCTCCTCCTCCTCCTCCTCCTCCTCCTCCCGCGGCTCGTGAAGCCGGTCGCCAGCGCTGGCGGGGACGACGGCTTCCTGGACAGGATGGGCCAGGGGGGCGCTTGGCAGAAGCCTGGGCTGGGGCGCAAACAGTCACCAAAGAGGAAGGTGCGCCGCGTCCTGGACAAAGCCCAGCGCGAGCTAGCGCGGAGGTGGTGCCGTTGCCCAGGTGGGCAGCCCGCCCCGACAACGGGCTGCTGGACGAGAGGTGCTGGCAGCCCTGGGCTCACAAGCTGCGCCGCGCTGGACGGCAGCGAGGAGCCGACCGCGGAGGCCCTTCGGAGGGGCGCGGCCGCTGAGAAGATGCGGTGCGGGCTTGCGGCCGTGTGGAGACAGAGCCCGCCACCGCCACCATGGGAACGAGGCTCGCAGAGCGTCGCTCGGACGTCTATTTCCCGTGCATTTTCTGGTTTCGTGCGTGTTGTTTTTTTGCTCGATAGTCCAGAATGGTCCTCCATGCTCCTCGCCGAAAAAATGCACACGTCCGAGCGATGCCAAGCTGCCGAGCTGGCAGCAGAGAGGGCGGCCAGAGCCGCGGAAGCCATGGAGTGGCAGCTGCTGAAGCGTCAAGTCGCCATGCCGCGCCACACGCTGGATAATAATGTTAAAGTCGGGCCTGTCCCCCTATAGGGTCGTCGAAAATCCACCTGTAGAGGACAGGCCCGACATGACAATAATGGAGGGGCTGGAGGAGACGGAGCGGCGGAGGCACTCGGAGCTGCGCCCGCAGCGGAGCGCGGAGGGGGGCCCCTCGGGAGGCCGCCGCCGCCGCCCGCAGCCGCGGCAGCTGCGCAGACGGTGCACCTGCAAGGCGAGCTGCACGCCCGGCTGCAGAAGCGCGCGTGGGGCCAAGAGGGGGGCGTCCAAGAGGGGGGGGTGCAAATCATGACCGGCGGCACGTGCGCGGCCCAGCGGGGGGGCCAGGGACGTAATGAAATGAGAAGAGGCGCCGTGAGCTCTGGGGAAATAGCGTGGCCCCCGCCATGATATCCACCTCCCCTAGTCATCACCCCCCTCTTTTCCGCCCCCGAGGAAGTGCGAGTGGGGCCTGGCGGGGTTGCAGTCCGGACTGTCCGATGCAGAGCGGTGGCGGGCACTGCGCACCACCGCCTCGGCCGCGGAGGTGGAACAGCTGGGGCGGCAGGTCTCGATGCACGCGGTGCTCCAGCAGCGGAATGCGCGGATGCACGATGCTGAGGTGGAGGCTCAGCCCCGCCAGAGTGACCACGAGTGCGCCAGGGCCAGAGGCGTGGAGGCATCCCTCGGCGAGCAGTGTGCAGCAGGCTGGAGGCCGATACCTGCGCAGCTTCGGCAAAACGGCAGCGGCGAGGCGGCCGCCAAGAGCTGAGCTCTGGGGGCTGCCCGCGCTGCCAACCAGACCATACATGTTTGTGCACCGTGTTGCTTTGTGTGTGTGCGGCGCTTCTGGGCGCTTGTCGGCGCTTGTGGGTTGGGGGCCCGAGGTCGTCGTCGGGAGCCAAGCTGCTGAGCCACAATGCCGACAACCCGTCGACGCAGGCAGGAAGGGTGGAATGACGCTAAGCACTTCCAACTTGAATAGGTCACTGCCCAAGAACCCTCACTGTCTTTGGAGTCGACGAGAGGACGCCGACGATGCAGGACGACCTGGCGCCGCTCAAGCAGCAGGGCGCAGGGCAGGACGCACAGGGAGGGCATCCGGCAGGGCGAATGGCCCAGCAACGACTGGCGGGACTCAGCCTTCTCCTCACCCCTCAAGTGCGCCTCGCTTGCGCAACGGCCCCGCTCGACCTCTCACGGCACAACTCCAACTGCCTGCGCTCCGTCCCATGCTTCGTGGGAGGGCCGCGCCGGGCATAACGATTTCCTCTCCAGATCTCATAAGCCGCGCTTAATCAAAGTGTTCGCTTGAAGAGGCCCATGCCCCGGCCCTGGTGCCGAGGCGGCACACGGCATTTCCTTCAATTTCCACTGGCCTGATCAGGCCACTTGCCGTGGCAGCTCCAGCTCGCGCGGGGCTGCTCGTTCCCCCTCCAGCTTCTCCTTGCCTCTCCAGCTCTCCAGGCTCCCCCTCCCCTCCCATCATCATAATCCTCCCACTCCTCCCTACTCCTTTCTTCTCCTCCCTCCTCGTCCTGGACATCCCGCCACCTTCCTCCTTCCGCCTCGGGGGACCCGACCAAGACTCCCGCAACCAAGCATGTCTACAAAACCCGTGTGCACGCGCCTCGTCCCCCCTCGCCATCGCTCGGACGTCCATTTCCCGTGCATGTTTTGGTTTCGTGCGTGTTTTTTCTGCTCGATGGTCCAGGATCGTCCTCAATGGTTCTCGCCGAGAAAAAAATGCACACGTCCGAGCGATGCCAGGGCCGCCATCCCAGCCGAGCGAGACCCGCTCAGCAACCTCCCGACCCAGTTTCCGACCTTCCCAGGAGCGGCGACGATGACAACGACAGCGGCTGTGGCGTCGACGACGGCAGCGTCGTAGTCGTCGTCGTCGTCGTCGTCCTCCTCGTCCTCTTGCATCGTCCTCATCGTTCGTCCATCGCCACTCCTCAGCCACGTCGTCCTCTCCTCCACCTCACTCTCCTCCTGCTCATCCTCCTCTCCTCCTCCTCCTCCTCCTTCTTATGATTATTCCCCTAGTCCTCAAATTGTCCTCTTCAGCATCATCATCATCATCATCATCATCATCATCATCATCATCATCATCATCCTCATCCTCATCCTCATCCTCATCCACATTATCATCCTCATCATCATCGTCATCATCAGCAACATAATCATCTTCATCCTCATCATCCTCCTCCTCATCATCACCATCATAATCACCACAATAATCATCGTCATCATCATCACCATCATCAGCATCATCATAATCATCAGTACCATCATCATTACCATCATCATCAATATCATCACCGTCAGCATCATCATCAGCACCATCATCAGCATCATCATCAGCATTATCATTAACATCGTCAGCATCAGCATCAGCTTCATCGTCATCAGCATCAGCATCAACGGCATCATCAGCATCAGCAACATCATCAACATCATCAACATCGTAATCACCATCAATGTCGTCCCCATCATCTTCATCATCAGTATCGTCACATTCCCTCCTTCATTCCTTCATTCCGTTTCCTGCTCTCTCCATTAAAATCCTCGTCGACTTCGTCTTCCCTCCGATGCTCTCTGCGCCATGCTCTCTGCGCCGATGTTGTTTGTTTGCGAACTCCGCCAACTCAATCCTCCTTATCCGCATCTTGCTGGCCTTTCTCCCTCCCCGTGTTTGGCCTCCGTCCTCTTCCTCGTCGTACCCGAACGCACTGATAGTTGCCCTAATCCTCCTCATCCTCCTCATCTCCCCTGCTCCCACTCCTCCTCCCGCAGTACTCAGTGGCGTTCAAGTATCGTACCGTCGAATTTGAAGCATCGTGAGGACTCTCCAAGGCACGATAATCCACAAGACAAACAGCAAACGATGGATAATGCAGGATAACCAAGATCACAGAACATAAGCGCTGGGAAATTTGCAGTTTGAGGAACGGCATCTCGCTGGTCAAGGGAGGCCCCAAATGCTTCGCGGTCCTTCCAAACCGAATGGCCAAACCCTGATTTTGTGACACCCTTCAAAGTATGGGTCGTCGGATTTATGGATGGGCGGACGGCGAGGAGGGCGAGAAGAACCCACATACCTTCCTAGAACATACAGCCTTCCCCCTCCCCATCTCAAACGATTTCTCCACCTCCACCTCCATACAACTCTTCCCTCGTCCTCCGCGAACATTGGGAGCCAACGCCGGACGAAAATAACTCCTCGAGCATGAAGAGACAGTGCACCCGCACGGTGAGCCTCGGAGACGAGCTCTGAGCGTGTCAGAATTCAATAGCCCTCTGCGGGATCATGAGGTAACATCTCCGAACTCCCAGCAGGCTCGTTGGGCCACGACTTCTAGGAGGTGGGCAACGAGCGTCTAGGGACACCTCTGGCGATCAGGCCAATTGGACCGAGGCACTTCGATCGCCTACACATGCTAGACATCCAGCTACGCGAATTGCTAACGCCAGGCGGGTCACCGATTGATAGCTCTTTGCAATCAGCAATAACATCTCCAGGAATTGATACCGATTCCCCCATCTCCATCCAGACCGTCCCTGGTCAGGTCAGAAGCCTCGCATGTGAAAGACGCGGTGGCAGAAGCAGGGGGATCACCATTAGACCCATTATTTTGGTTAGGAGGCAACTACTTGGAGGTTTCATTTGAAGGATTAAAGAGGAATTAGCACCATTAGGGGGCTGTTACGTCGGATTAGGCCACGGATTAGGGCGGATTAAGCGGGATTAAGCGGTATTAAGCCGTATTACACGGGATTGAGCGGGATTAAGCCGGATTTCGGACCAGGGCAAAATCAGAATTTGACCTCCCAGGAACTGCATCCGAATTTTGGTATTTCTGGTGGGGTCACCACCCATGGATGTGAAAAGCCCTTAGTCGGCGGTGGACCAACCTCCTTTTCGTAAACCTCCCCTTCGTGAACACGGCCTGGGACCGAAACCGACGGACCTGGACCCGCAAAACTAACGGCCGCGACGCCCTCTCGCGAACCGAAAACGGCCAATTCCTTAATCGACGTGGCAGCGTAGGAGGTCTGTCCACCTCCAACTATCCCCATACCCGCGGATGTTGGGGGACGAATAAAACATAGTCCAAACAGATCCCCAAACAGCTACAAATACTAAGAAAGATCGTCCCCAGACTATGCTTTGACTAGTTTCGAAGATTCCCCCTGTAGGAGGTCTGTCCACCTCCGACTTAGGCCGCGAGCGCGCAGCGCCGAGGAGGCGGAGCGCATCACGGGGGCACCGCGCGGGCACGGAGCGCAGCACTGGCTGCGAGGCCGCGGGGCAGGAGGACGAGGCACCCCACGACCGTGGACGCGAGGGTGCGGCACACCAGCAGCACGGTTGAAGGGGCCCTGGGACACACACATAAATACACACACAAATAACAGGATTCCCCATATTTTCCCATATTTTCTGGGTTTCTTTCCCCCCCCCACTTCCCATATTTTCCCATATTTTCTGGGGAGTCGACGATAAGTGGTGTCTGTGTTTTTTTCCCTCCTGAACGGTGGTGGGAAGGAGGAGGAGGAAGAGGAAGGGAGGAGGGGGAGGAGCAAGGAAGGGGAGAAGGAAAATAACGCTCGCGTGAAGTTTCTCCCATCTTACTTAAGGACCACATCACAGAAAGAATGTCGAGCACCTGGCAAAGTGTCGAAAGAGTGTCGGACGAGTGTCCCCCAGGGCCCGACACGTGAAAACCATCGAGTTTCGGCACTTTTTTGGTGCTCGAAACTCTTTCTGGTGATCAAGGCTGAGGTAGGTTGGAACATCATAACGCTCGCGGCCTGGAGGGTGTTCAGATCCACGGGTAGGCACTCCACCAATAATGCCAGTGGGTCCTCCGGTAATCCCCCTGCTTCGGACATATGCACGGCTTTAGACCTGACCAGGGCAGAGGAGAAAGAAGAGGGCGAGGGCCGGCAATACGGCAAACGACGCCTGCCATACAGACAGCGCGCCCAATCGCCCACTGCTGTCGCGCCCCTCTGCCGCCGTGGCCTGACCAGATTCTTGAAAAGGCATACAGGTTGCACAGAAGACGTCGTATTAAAGAAGCAAGCGGCTTCTTCGCAATGTTTGAAAAGTAAGACTCGCTCCTAACTTGTGACAGACCGTCCCTAAGGGAACATAATCCTACGGATACCACCATGTACTCCCCGACCCCTCCCCGGCGCGTTCTGACCAGGAATCCGTGGCGAAATCAGCCGCGACGACGCGAAATCAGCCGCGGCGACGAGTGACTGCCCAAACCAGGCCGCCACAAAGGGCTGAAAAACAGGGAAGGGCATCGGCATCGATAGTCATGTTACTCCTCTGAGTCTCACTCGATGCAGAATCTTGCGGCACGCTGGCAGCAACAACATCGGCAACCGGACAGGCACGGCAATCCTATACGGAGAGGAGCGTGCAACAGGCACTCCCTGTCCGCGTTCTTGTCGCCAGCGCGGTCCCTCGGGGAAGGGACGTGAATGAGAGGAGTCGCTGAAGTTTCGAGCCACTCCGAGGTTGTCCGACGCACGAGAGTTTAGAATTCTGGGATGCGCTGGCCCTTTCTGGGTCTCTGCAGGCCTCCAGGCGGCCCCAGAGACCTCCCGGGACTTCCGAACCCATTCCATGCAAATGAGTTCCAGCCACTCCGATGATCGCTTTCCACGACTTGGGAAACTGAACATGAATCAGCGTGCCTTTGGGGAGAGAGGCTGATGAGAGGTAAAGCGGCGACGGAGACGGTGAGGAGATCGATGTCTCATGGTCTGAACGCCTAGATGCAAGAGCGCGCAAGGCATGCTGCGTGGAAGGGTAACAGGCGTGTAGGCCGCAATGACAATGCAAGGCGGCTATTGGAGGTGAGGCTGACACGACATGGAACAATAACCAATGGAAAGCGTGGAGACGAAATGTGACTCTGCATGCACGCAGCGAATGGTCAACACTGGTACGACAAAGAAAGTAGACGGTCGCAGAGACTGGCTGCTGGCGCTCATGTTCCCCAGTGGGAGAAGATGATTGCTACTGCGGTCACTGTCCACTGCCAATTGTTTGATGTTTGCTATCTGCGACTTTGGCGCAAAAGGCAACGGCTTAACGCGACTTAGCAGCTGGAAGCCAAGCAGCCTGCAGAAATCACCGCATCATTCCCAGAGGGACGGCTCTGAGTCACATCCACGATCCTCCACGCCTCCAGCCCAGCTTTCGCCAGTCGCCGCTTCCTTGAGAATCACGGTTCAAGCCTCGGCTACGACTGGAAGCGACTACGAGAGCACGTGCACCGCGACAGGTGGCAGGGGCCGATGCCCCTCGCCGACGGCTGGCGTGCTAGCAGATGGCTTTGGCCTGCTCTGACTGCTGGCGTTCGCGCGACTCTGCGACCCCTCCCGCCGCCCAGCCACACAAGGGCGCCCAGACCCACAGATGAGATGGACCCTGGCTGTGATCGTGCGCCCTGATCGGGAATCAGCAGCATCCTGTACACCACCACCGGCCCTGGCCAGGCCTGTCCTGGTGCACAGAACCTCGTAGCCTGCACCAGGATGGTCTGCACAGTGGATCCACGCGACGAGTCATCTTGCCATGAGACACCTGAGGCAAACTGGTCGTCAAGCCTTGGGCTTCACAATGAGCCCCAAGACTTCTGCGGGCCCACAAGTCCATCGAAAGATGATAAGCTTGGGCCAGCCGTGTCGTGGGGCGGCTCCTGCTGGCCAGGGTGTCGGATTAGCCTGGTCAGGCAAGGTGATGGCGTGTGGTGTATGTCTTCCGACTGGAGCGATGCAGCAAGTTCACGGCACTTGACGCCGGCGCTGTAGCTTCTGTATATGACACCGCGCGGATCGTCTGGCCTTGAGCGATGCCAGTTTTCCGATTGCGCCGTTCGCTCGACGTCGGCCGAGTCGAGGCCACTGGACTGGCGTTCAACCCGAAACGCCCGCGCGAGGGTCGCCCCTGCGTCGACGCGGCGCGAGGCTGCCGTGCCTGCAGCGGCACGGGCCGCATGAGGTCAACAGTCCGCCCCCAGATCTCCCCTGGGTACGTTCCGACCAGACGAGTCCGAAGGGAAGATCCAGCTGTGGCCACCAGGGCGCCCAAGAAGCCCAAACACGCCACACGTCGTCGATCCTCTATCCTAAGGAGACCCAGGGACGCACAGATAGGAAACACACATCCCAGGTTTTTCCCCTCCTTGTATATTTCTGGGTTTTCGTCTTCCCCCCCCATACTTTCCTGGGGATCGTCGAGTAATCGTGTCTGTGAGTTGTCCTTCTTGAGCAGGGACCGACCGCCCCGGCATTCCTATAGTCATGCCACGAAATGTTCTTAGAACCCAGAAATGCTCTAAGAACAAGAACAATGTTCTTAGAACATACACCCGATGTGTAAAAACAAGGCAGTCCCAGCCAGAAAGGTTCTACGAACATCTCGTGGGAACCACATAAGGTTCTTAGAACATGCTTTGTCGGGAGCGGCCAAGAGGGGGGCGTCCAAGAGGGGGGGGTGCAAATCATGGCCGGCGGCATGTGCGCGGCCCAGGGCGGGGGGGCCAGGGACATGATGAAATAAGGAGGGGCGCCATGAGATCTGGGGAAATATCATGGCCCCCGCCATGATATCCACCCCCCCTAGTCATCACCCCCCTCTTTAGGGAACCCACAAAGGACGTACGCGCCAAGCTATGTACATGAACACGGCCCCTTGACCCGCGAGACCGGCCGCGCAATACGAACACTCGCGCCATGCGAACTCTCGAAACCGGCGTGGATTCATGTTGTACGTGCACGTCCTTCTTTCGCTCCCGACTCTTTGCCGCCCCCGATGTTTTCTGGGGCTCTAGTGAAGGGGAACTGGAACACACAAATAAATACACACAAATAAAAATATCCCCCAAACATTCCCATAGTTTCTGGGTTTTTGTCTTCCCCACCACCTCCCATATTTTTGCATACTTTCCTGGGAGTCGACGATGAATTGTGTCTGTGTGTTTCTCTCCCTCCCGATCTATAGGCGAGCCTGGACGCCTCGCCCCTGCTTTGGCCCTCCCCGCCCTTCTCCACGGGGGGGGGCGACGCGTCGCGCCGCGGGGCCCCGCCGAGCATATCGCGGGCGGCGGGTGGCCGCGCGAGCGCCGATCGGGTCGGGCGAAAGGGGGGGATAGCAAAAGGGGAGGTTGAGAATCCCGCGGGCGGCGGGTGGCCGCGTGAGCGCCGATCGGGTCGGGCGAAAGGGGGGGATAGCAAAGGGGGGAGGTTGAGAATCAGCTCACGTACTGCAGGTCCGTGCCGTGTCGACCCTGGCGTTGGTTCCCGACACCGCGCTGGATCGTTCAACCTTGAACGATCGGCCGTCTCCGCGACGTCCGATCGTTCAACATCGACCGATTCTGGGTCGCCGCCGGCGTTCAACCTTGAACGCCCGCGCTGGGGTCGCCGCTGGTCGACACGACGCAAACCTACCGTAGCTGATTGTCCCGGCGCCTCCCGACGCCAGATGGCGGCTATGTATCGAGGAATGGGCCCCTCGGTGAGGCCGAAACTAGCTGCATGCAGCACATTTCGTAACCCCCCCTTTCCCAATCCCCCTCTTTCGCCCGACCCGAGCCGATGGGGGGCCTGTGCGGCCGGTCGTGGCAGATGACGCGCGCGTTGAAGCAGACCTGGCACGGCGGGGGTGCCAGACTGCGCCAGCGCCCCTCCTATAGGGGAACCAGAAGTGGCACAGGCATAAAAGCTCGGAGGTCCGCGCGGAGTTCTCGGATCGGCGCCGGGGCTCCCCGGCGGCGCCTCCGGCGCCGCCCCTGGCGCGCTCCGCGCGCCAAGGAGGGGGGTCCAGCGCCGATCCGAGAAATCCGCGCGGACCTCCGAGTTTTTGATTATGTTTATGTCACTTTGTGTTCCCCTATCAGCGTCCCTCTGACGGGGATCTCCACTAACGGGTCCTTTGGCCAAAGACCGGGCAAACCTGACCCTCCCCGAGGTGGGCAACGCTGCAATGCCAAACAAAAAGGCTCCGAAATTGCGACTTTCGGCAAATCTCCAAAAGACCCGTGAAGGAGCACCCGTTACGGTGCCGCTGACTGCATCCGGCGGCGGATGTGCCGTCACTGGAGGGAGAACAAACGGTACAAACAGAAACCTTTGGAGATTCGCGCGGATCTCTCGGATCGGCGCTGGGCCCCCATGGCGGAGACTCTGGCGCCGCCTCTGACGCGATCTGCGCGCGCCGACCTTCGACAACTCATGCTGATGCGATGTCTCCCTCCCCGAATGTCATGCCCGGCCCTCCCTCCCCTGGGAGTCCAAGAACCGCCGGGTTGCAGACCGAGCGCTGACCTCGACATCCTAAGGACCTCACCGCACGGTCCCGGGACTCTGCGGAACCCTGGATGCGGATGAGGATGAGGAGGCGGACGAGGATGAGGATGATGAGGAGGATGAGGATGAGGATGAGGATGAGGATGAGGATGAGGATGATGATGATGATGAGGATGAGGATGATGATGTCGATGCTCATGGTGATGATGATGCTAATGCTGATGCTGATGATGATGACGCTGATGATGGTGATGATGATGATGATGATCATGATGATGATGATGAGGATGAGGATGATGATGATGATGATGTTTGTCGTGGTGGCCCGAGACATCCTCGCAGAACGACCCACATTTCAAAACGGCCCGCTCACCCGACATAACCTTCGAACCACCGGACGACTCACTCGACGGCGCGGACCGCACCGGACCCCCGACGAAAACCCGGCCCTCCCTAGAGGCCGCGCAGTTGGCGCCCGAGCAGACGGGGCCACAGCATCGCTCCGGCACATCGCCGGCGCATAGTGGGCTTCGGGATTAGAGGACCAAGACATGGCATGCCCCTAAACTTTCGACGGTCCTCGCGGACTTCTTGGATCTGAGCGGGACTCCCCCACCTGGCTCGCGGCGCGCGCCCAGGGGCGGCGCCGGAGGCGCCGCCAGGGAACACCCAGCGCCGATCCAGGAGATCCGCGCGGAGCGCCGACGGTTTGTGTGTTGTGCAGCTGGAACTCTTCGAGGGGTGGCTGAGACTCGGGGATGGACAGACCCCCCTTTAGTAAAACGTGGTTAGTGAAATCGACCTGAGGCCCAAACCTGGCGGGCGCAAGCCTGGAAAATAACGGCCACGGCGCCCTCTCGAGAACCGACAACGGACAATCCACGAATCGACGTGCCACTGTTGGGGGTTCTGTCCACCGCCGAGAGACGTCGCGCCGTGGCTCTCGCCGCACCGCCGATGCATCGGCGATGCGGCGCGATCCTCGGACCGGGCGAAAGGGGGGGATAGCAAAGGGGGGGTTTGAGAATCAGCTCACGTAGCTGATGTTCCCGGCGCCGGAGGCGGCTATGTATCGAGGAATGGGCCCCTCGGTGGGGCCGAAACCAGCTGCATGCAGCAAATTTCGTAACCCCCCCTTTCCCAATCCCCTCCTTTCGTTCGGCCCGAGATCCCGTGGCAGCCCTGCGCTCCCGCCTCTCGAGAGCGCCGGGCAGAGCCCACGGCGCGCGTGCGCGCCGTGGGCTCTGCCCGGCTCGTCCGGGGCGGCAGGCGCCCGGCGGAGGCTGTCCCGTGACACGCCTGCTCCCCCGGTAAGACGAAGCCAAGACGAGGATTGCATCGGGCGAGGGTACATCTAGGGCTCCCAACTTCGCGCTTCGCGCTCCGCGAAGCGCGAAGCGCGAATAACTTCGCGCTCTCGCGCCGCCCCCCAAAGGGAGAAAAGGAGGACGAGGAGGAGGGGGAGGAGAAACGAGGACCGCGAAGCGCGAAGCGCGAATAACTTCGCGCCCTCGGGGGAGCCCTTGGTACATCGAGGATCTCTGAGATCCAGCGGCTCTGGAGGATGTCTGTGGCCCCGCGGCCTCCTCAAACCGGTCCGGAGCTCCCTGAGAGCACTCTGGCCTGCGCCAGAACGGACTTGTCCACGTCCTGACGCCGTCCGATTCCTACTCTTCCAGGCCTCCACCTGCTCGAACAAAAAACCATCGAATACCTGTTTGTTTGTTCCGCTATGTTCGGGACGGGGGGAGTGCTTCCAGGAGATCTAGAAAACGCCAGCCCCGTGGACCCTGGGGAAATGGTCGGGACTTGCGGGGACCCCGCACCTTAGTGGGCCCTGGAAGCGACAAGGCATTTTTTTACCGGTTCCGTTTTGCCGTTTTTTTGCTGGTTCCGACGCAGTTTTTTTACCGGTTCCGTCGCCGTTTTTTGACCGGTTCCGGCTCCAATTCCGATCCTGGAGCCGTTTTTGTTGCTGTTTCCGGTCGCCGTTTCTTTGCCGTTTCCCTTGTCAATGGACATTTTTTTGGAAACGGTGAAAAAACGGCCCTGCCGTTTCCGGGGCCGACAAAGCCCCGCACCCCAAAGAACGGCGTCGGAGGTCTGGGTAAGATCAAGGCCCTCAGATCTGGGCGTCGAGAGAGATCGCGGCGTGCGGTCTGCTCGGGCCCCAGGATGCGGGCAGTACTTATATCCATATCCAGAGCGTCGTGGACTTTTTAGGAAGAGGTGCCGCAACGCCGAGGCGCACTGGATATGGATAAAATCAAGCCTCTTGGGGCCAGATTTTTATCCATATCCAGTGCGTCTACGGCTTCTGGGGAAGAAAGCCCAAGACGCCAAGACGCACTGGATGTGGATATAACTATTGCCCGCACAGGACCTGCACGGATCGATCCACCTCGAGTCGGCGACGCGCAAAGGGTCTGGCCTGTGGTGCAAGATTTGCCCATCGTTGACTGCGACGCGGCAGTAGCGGCTGACGTGCTCGGGTCTGGTCCCCCGCGCCTCCCGAAAGCCGCAAACCAAAAACCACTCCGGCTACGGGTCACTCTTCCACGTGCATAGCCGAAAGAAGGGCCGCAGAGAGACAAACACGGGTCAGGAGCTCTGGTCGTGAGGTTTCTCGGCGTCGCATTTTTGATAACCTCAGATCCCTGGGGGTCGCTGAGCGGCTCCATGGGGTCCAAGCCCACTACTGGCGCGGTCCACCGATCGCTTCGGGACTTCCGTGGGCACCAGCCTCAGCCAATTCGACAAGGAAGCGGGACGCGGAAGGCGACGCGGCGCACGTGAGGTGAAAAAGGCGAAAAACGCCCCGCCTGTCGTGCCTGATGTGATCGACTGGTGTCGTTGCAAGCTGATTCCGCGCACACACACACACCTTCTCCACTGGCGCTGTAGTCCACTAGTGCGCTGTCTGACTTCGGGCCACAGCATTTGCAAAATGGCTTCAGCCAGGATGTCCGACCAACACCCTACACATGTCGGGGATGGACAGGCCTCCCTTTAGTAAAACGTGGTTTAGTGAAAACGACCTCGGGCCCAAACCTGGCGGGCGCAAGTCTGGAAAATGACAGCCGCGGTGCCCTCTCGAGAACCGAAAACGGACAAGTCACTAATCGACGTGTCAGGGTAGGAGGTCTGTCCACCCCCGAGTAGTCCACTAGTGCGCTGACTGATTTCGGGCCACAGCATTTGCAAAATGGCTTCAGCGAGGATGTCCGACCAACACCCTACA